ATAAACCTGAGAATATTTGAAAATCATTTGCACTATGTGCTGCCATGCAAATAATATGCATTTTATTAGATCACATTCTTTCATTACGAGTTACAAGCCTTATATAACATCATTGATATTTAATTAATATATAAATTTAGGTCATGAGATCATGTACACTGCTGGATAATTTGATAAAACTACCAAAACATTGGGTTATTTATCTTAAAATGCTGATTCCCTTAGGATATACGTAGGATATGTCCCCACTCACATCTCCCAGATTACCTGCCTGTGAGTATTCAGGCCTATTTCCTGAAAATTCACCATGAGTGCAGTAAATATTCTTAGTGACCCTGTCACCTGTTTTTAGCAATTGAAAAGAATTCCTGAAATTTGAACTGGATTGTTGTTGGATGGCAGAGCTACTTATCAACAAGTTTTTGAAGAAAAAAAACAAATTTGTGAATTTAAACTTTAAATTCGTGACTGAACCCAAAATATCAAAATAGTGAATAAACATAACCGTCGTCTTATCATAATAATGCATTGTTCCTAATATTAAAACTAAAGGTTTTTATATACTTAATGCTTTTGTATTTCTTGTTATCCCTCATAATATAGCGCAATAACTAAACTTCAGTTGTTTGCTTCTTGATAGATATGGTTGGTATGAACCAACCTATGTTATGCAGTATATTTATACAGAACGCAACATCATTGCAAATAACTGGTGGGTATTGAATGATCCATTTGTAAATGAGCTTTTCTACATTGATGCTGATCTGCTAGACAATCTTACATTGACTGACGATGGAGATGGTAGTCGATATTGTGAAGATTCTAACTGCGTAGATGGTGTGTTCAGAGTCCCCAGCTGTCCTAGAAATAATTCTAAATGTGCTGTGCTGTTAGCAGAATATGCAGGTAATTGCACACATTTCATCTATATGCCTAAATATCCATTTTTTTATGTTTTTGTGGACATGGCATAGATTACCATTTTATTAGCTTCCAACTGGACAGTCTGGGGGCTCATGGATTGGGTTCTGTTCATATGTCTGTCTGTCGCCCGTCCATTGTATTATCTCAGTACTTCATTCAAATTTGGTACATAGTTGATACATGATACTATTATACATCTGTCACCATAACGCCATAAGTTACAGCATGCCATAATTTTGCGGTATTTTACAGGGTATTTTCATCCTACCATATTAGGAAATGCAAATTCCAAATATGGAATGATTATTCACATAAGTGTCTTCCAATATTAAAAACAAACATGGCTGCCATATCAGGGTTTGACGAGACTCCACACAAAGAAGTTCGCTGATTCTGTTATAAACTTCTTAGATTTCGGCATTCCCATGACATATCATTGGGAGGAAAAGATGAATAATAATAAGGTTATTAGGATACCTAAAGTATGCTCTCAGACAGTACGTAGTTGCATTGACTTTCGCTGCGCATCAGTCGATACTCTCACTGTACTGTCTTTGTGTATACTTCTCGGTAACCTCTTAATAACCTCATAGTATACCTCATTTTTTTTCTGTTCAAATTATCAAATGGCAGCCATATTTGACCCCAAAATAACGTATATTTTATATAGTTATGCTGGTCGATTATGTTCAAACTTAGAATATATTAAATAAATTTATGTTGGCATACTGAGGCACATCTATTATTATATTATTAAAATCACCCAACTGGAGCCCATTTTAAACAACAAAAATACCTATTTTTGTTCATATTTGAGACTTGGTACATAATTTTCCAGACTTTGTACAGAGGAAGTACAGCATATTATTTCATGAAGTTGAGAGTTAATATTTTTCAAGATTTTTTGCAGTATGGCTGTCCATTTTGCCATTTTGTTTCACAAAAATCAGCAATTTTCACCTTTAACTGCACAATGCTGCTATATATCAAATTCATGCTGTTCAATTACTTCAAAACTTGGTTCACAGACAATTATGTTCCAGCGTAACTAAAATTGATTGTATCACAATCCCATTCAAAATGGTCGCCTGGCAGCCATTTTGTTTGGCTAAAAAATGGCAAGTTTCATCCTAGTTTACAGATATTTCTGTTTTAGCACATCAACAAAAGTTGATTGGTGCTACAATACAATCCAAGATATGGTAGTTGACTGACAGCCATTCTGTTTGATGAAAATCATCAATATGTTTTTTCTGCACAAGTTTTATAACTCAAATTCTCACTGTCCAATCAGGTCCAACATTGGTTCACAGACAATGGGGTTCAAGCACATCAGCATATTGTTTATGCCAAACTGGGCCACATTAAATGCTGTTCTCATCTAAATAATACACAACCACATATATTACCATATACTAAGGAACCTTTTTTAAAGTAAAGTCCAATTTTCAGTGGATAAAGGGTCAGAACTCTTGTTACAGGCCACTTTCTATTCAAGCCTTAATTAGTTGACAAATTTTACCAGTCAAAGAGGAGCTGCCTGAACACAATTTTGACAGCCAAAGAATCATTACTGCTGAAGAAGAGCTGCCTGAATATCGTTTTGACAGTCAGGGGGGAGCTGCCTTAATGCGGTTTTGAACACACTTCTTACAGTCCTTTGGCTAGAAGTAGTACATATTCACTGAAATCCAGAAAACAACATTAGATTTTAATCAGATTGAGACATACCATGAAATCGATTTTCTTTTATTTACAGATAACAACAAAGATGTATTGGTAGACCAAGTCACATTCTTGCAGTTAAATGTCACCATTGCATGGATTGGTCCTAAGCTAACTCGATTTGTTCAATCCTATTATCATGAAAGCAAACCTGTGCTCTACTTTAATTGGGTGCCTAATAGTATCACAGCATCTGGCAACTATACAAGGATTGAATTTCCAAACTGCATCATCAAAAGGATTGACAGGGGATGCGACTTCAATACAAATATTTTACATAAATATGCATGGGCTGATTTCCAGTCTGGTTTGCCTCATGCATTCAATATCCTCATGGATATGGAATTTACGCCATCCCAGATGGATTCCCTGTTAACATATCAATATTCAAATCATATAACTGAAGAAGAAACTGCTTGTGATTGGGTTCGAGAGAATGAAGATATATGGATGTCATGGATACCAGGTAATCAAGTCACCATCTATATGAAATTTCCTGTTATACATTTCTCTCTGCAGTACCCATCTTAAATTTATTTTTTTTAGTACAAATAATATTTCTTTGTTTTTACAGGTGTTGTAGTGAATCAGACTATATATCTTGGTGGTTTCTTCCCAAACACTGGTGGTAAATGGCCTCAGCCCGGAATTGAGCCAGCTGCCCACATGGCAATATCAGCTGTCAATGCTAATTCATCTATTTTACCAGTATACAACTTAGATCTACATACCTTTAACACACAGTGTAATGAACAACTTTCCATGTTGGCATATCTAAAATATATAACTGATAATGAACATACAAGTGTTGGTAAGTGTTTTCATACGTTATTCCTGCCATGTATGAGTAAACCCTTTTTGCTGCCCTCAACTGTATGTGTTGAAAATTCTTTCGTTTTTGCCTGTATGTTATTCATTTTCAATATTACCGGTACCCTCATAACCAGCTAGCACTTTAAACTTGACTACTAAGTGTTTTCTGTGTGCACTACTTCAGGTATTGTTGGTCCAGCCTGTTCAGATGAGGCACAGATAATAGCTGGAATGTCTACATATTTCCATAATATCATGATAAGCTATAGTTCAGAGTCACCTGTTTTATCTGATAGAAGTCAGTATCCACACTACTACAGAACATATCCACCTGCCACACAATTTGCGTAAGTACATCTAAATAGTGTGAATTACAGTATTTGAGCTGGAGTTTGTTTTCACTGAAAACAGTAAATTGGGAGTTGACAAATGTAACTGATAGTCATTCAAAATTTTCACTGAATGTAATATATTCAACATCATACTGTGTATTTCCATTTCTCACAATTCCATTATATTTCTCTTGGGAGATCTCTTCACCAAAAGTAGTGAAAATAATCTACATCACCCCTCTATATTAGGCAATATCCAAGCATGTACATTTTCAAATATCTGACTTTATAATGAAAGTTATTAGGCCAAGCCTGGTTACTGGTAATTTATAATAACAGATTTTCCAATATCTGATCTTCCACTGCCCTTAGCAGGGCTTCAGGGTATTTTCATTGCATTGATTGAAAGAAATGACATCACGTATTAACATGGGTAATGACTTACAGTTCATTCAGACCCATTATTAGATATCAATGGAAATTACCATATCTGACCTGATATCTTCTTATTTAAATTTTCAGTAATTGTTATGTAGAGTTCTTTGAATACTGGGGATGGGAGCAATGTGCCACTTTAACGGAAGATGGAAGCGAATTCGCATACTTAGTATCCGCTATTCATGCAGCATTTACTATGAATGGTATTGATGTGGTAGTCAGTCGTAGGTTTACTGAAGGTGAACATTCCCTGGACATGTCATTCTACATCACAGAGATTAAAGAAAATGAGGCACACATTGTCATTGGTAATTTCTATGAATACGCCGCTAGAGCTGTAATATGTGAAGCATACAAACAGGTATTAATCTAATTATTATACATCTGTCACCGTAACGCCATAAGTTACAGCGTGCCGTAATTTTGCAGTATTTTATGAGGTATTTTCATCCTACATACTAGGGAATGCAAATTCCAAATATGGAATGATTACGCGCATAAGTGTCCTCTAATAATAAAAACAAACATGGCTGCCACCAGGGTTTGACTGGACTCCATACCATACAAAGAAGTTCGCTGATTCTATTCTAAACTATTTGGATCTCGGCATTCCCATGATGTATCCTTGGAAGGAAAAGATGTATAATAATAAGGTTATTACAAGATACTTCAAAGTATGCACTCAGACAGTACGCTGTCACATCGACCTCTGCTGCGCGTTGGTTGATACTGCCGCTGTACTGTCTTTGTGCATATTTTGAGGTATCTTCGTAATAACCTGATATTATACTATTCATAATAATATTGTAAAAACAATCATAAACATGGCAGTCTAAATAAATAATGACAGTGATAAATGGAAACTTCAAAGGGTACACTTAGGCAGCACTTGGAAAACATGTTTAAAAACTACCAGTAATAGTTGTGTACCCACAATTATTCAATTATTCTTCAGTACTGTATGTATTGCCTTTATTATTCTAGGGTACAACTGCCCATGAGGGATATCAGTGGTTTCTGCCGGCATGGTATGCTAGAGACTGGTGGGATACGGACTATTACAATGAACATGAAAATGAATATGTACATTGTACAACACAGGAAATGGAGAAAGCTGTTGCAGGCATAATGACTTTTTCAAGAATGAACTGGCAAGAGAGTAATGTAACTGTTGTGGGTGATACAACTGTCAGAGAGTTCACTGAACAATATCTGAATATTGTAGACAATTTGGTTAGTAATCTCTCCTACCTAGTCTTGTTTACTATACCTCTCCCACAGACACAAGGATATAAGCCATTTCATATCAGCATGGGAAATACATTATTGATATAAGGCTATAAATGCATTCAATTTAATTTCATTCATTGATTCATTGAATCATTGATTCATTCATACATTCATTCATTCATTCATTCATTCATTTAATTTAATCGTTAGCTCATCTATAATTATAATTGAAGACACTATCTTGATTTTTTAATTTCAGGGTATTCCACCATCTCCCTATGCTGCCTATGCCTATGATGCTGTATGGACTATCGCTATTGCATTGGATAAACTATTAGAACATGATGTATTTGCACTGAGTACCATAACAACAAATAAAACTGTACAGTGAGTATGCAATAAACCATTGTCTCAAAAATTAGACTGCTGACTTTTTTTAAGTCAATAACCCAGGAGTACAAATCCTGGATGTTTGCATTTATGAATAGGCTTCTATCATAATATACTTAATATACCATTTGTTACAACATCAATTATTTTGTATGGTTAACTGAAGAAAATAATCATGTTTAATTTTTAGGAAATACATGGGCTTTATTGATGAATCATTATTCGAGGGTTTGTCTGGCAAAGTGTTCTTTGATGGGCCTGATAGAACAAGTAGTATAAAGATTAAACAAATGTTCGCACATACATCTAGTGTAAGTATTACAATCTTTGTGAAACATTACTGTTAATTAACTCCATCACCTACCTAGTCAGTCACTCACTTACTTACCGGTAGAAAATGCTCAAAAACACAACGACTCACTCACAAAATTATATTATTTTCTACTCTGTATTTTGTAATCACTTACCAACTTATAATTATTTATTTTAGTTTTTTGGTTCATGTTATCCTTCGGGCCTTGGAAATCTGACTATTGATGAGAGTCTTATTACATGGGTTACTGGTGTACCACCAAATGATGGGAAATCAGGTAATATATCTGAGCTGTAGTTATATATATGGTCAGACTCTTGAGAATACATGCATTATCACTTGATCACTTTTCTTTTACTTCCCGACTGGACCCGATTGAAAAAGCTTATGAATTATCAGTGCATCCGTTTGCAAGTCTAATTTTCTCATGGACCAATGGCCTCCAGACTTGTTATGTAGTTCTTATATGTTGGTATATGTGTGCCTCTGATTATTTTTCTGATCACATTGAAAACTGTTGACTGATGACTGATGATCATATTTAATCCAAAAAGTATCTAAAAACCTACATTTTATATACAGTATGTACATTCAAAACTGTTGACTGATGATCATATTTAATCCAAAAATTATCTAAAAACCTACATTTTATATATGTATACGCAGAGCATTATGTCCAAGCTTCACAGACCCATTTTGTTCAAAGTTAGATCATTTGTAAAATATCTATTATCTTTTGAGTTCAATTGAAATTGTAGCCATTTTGTGGTCATAAAAATTCATCTGTTCATTTCAGCCATTTCGGGACAGAATCTTGGCTGTATATGAATGAGACCTTGATGCACGTCATGTCATTTTATTAAATGTGATTCCAGAGATGTGTGTCTGACATACCTTGACTAATAATGTTCAAACTTTATATATAGATTGTACATCTTGAATTGTTGCAAATATGTACATTTATTTTTTGACCATAAGATTCAAGATGACCGAATGGCAGCCATTTAAATGCTAACAAATCAAAATAAAGCAATTCTGCTATTTTAGACCCAGAGCATGACTTGTTGAAACTTAAATTGATACAGAGACAATGTAATGTTCCACAAATAATTTTTGTTGTGATTTTATTCAAGATGGCTGGCTGGCAGTCATTTTGTTTGACGAAAATAAACAATACAAATATTTTCATCTTTTTTTTGCATAATTTATATCTCAAATTCTCTATCAATTAGGTCCAAAGTTGGTATAATGGCAATTGTTCTCACATGTCGAAAACAATTTATCTATATTGCAATCCAATCGAAGATTGCATACCAACAGCCATTTTGTTTTACATTTTGCCAACATAGACATTTATACATTAAGTTGTCTTGCAGTCTAAAACAGTCTAAGAACTGAATGTTCACAGTTCAATTACAAAACCTGTACATATTATATTTTTTTGCAGATTATGTGCCTTGTGTTTTTGGTGAATCAATGAGAAAATCCCTTGGTATTGAATGTTCTGGAGTTATTTTTATACTTGTTTGTATTGTACTTATCACTATCACTATGATCATCCTGAGTTTCTGTATTTTTGTTAAACTCAGGTAAGTCATTATCACTGTTATTCAATATACCGGTACCTTAATTATATTATAAAATATTTGTATGATCTTGTTCATTACAAATCTACTTAATATTCAACTTTTGACATTTGGATTGTCAAAATTTCATATCCAAATTAATAATGATAATATTTTATTTCACTGTACTTTACCGTAAAATTATTAACTTTCATGGGGAATTAAATTTCTTTATTTTTTATTTTGATATTCTGAGAATATTCACTGGATTTTAAGTTTGATGAATTTTGTAAATTTCAATTTGTTAATGTGGATTTAATTAAAAGTAAATTTCACTTATCAACAAAAATACAAATCCTGGAAAAAATTACTACATTTACAATAATAAAAACAACACAGGGAATCTTTCCACAACACACATCTTTATAGTCAAAGACTAACTTTACTTACATATTTTGATTTACAATTTCATGGATTTAGGATTTTCACTAGTGATGACATTAAATAAAAGTATGGTATCTGCTATATAAAATCAACAATGTAGTATTTTCTTCACAGTCACAGGTCACAGTCCCTCTATCACTGTGAGAGATTGTTGTGATTAGGTCTTTTTAGATATATTTCCCAAGAGGTATCAAAGTGTAACTAGCCTTGCTTTTTACTATCAGGTATGATAGGAAAGTACGAAGCACCAATGCCAGGATTAAAGAGCTGGGATTACTTCATAGGAATGCAGATATTTTGACTTTAGATGAATGGGAATTAGCTCGTGAAAATGTGGTGCTCAATCGTAAATTAGGTGAGGGTGCATTCGGTACAGTCTACGGTGGAGAAGGACTTGTGGATGGAAAATGGTTAGCTGTAGCTGTGAAAACACTGAAAATAGGATCATCTCTTGAAGATAAGGTAAATTGGAGTCATCAATGAACTTCCTGCATGATTGAATATTTCACATTTTGTGAAAGTTCAAAAAATACGTTGTACTAATTTATAAATGTTTTGATTTGTTCAGCTGGATTTCCTGAGTGAAGCTGAGATGATGAAACAGTTTGATCATATCAATATAGTACAATTATTTGGAGTTTGTACAAGATCTGAACCAGCTTATACTGTCATGGAGTACATGCTACATGGTAAGACTCTTTTATCAATTCATCTTACTTTTAATATATTACTAACATTAGACAAAAATCTTATCTAGTGCAGATGCTGGTGGTAGTAGGACTGGACTAAAATTCATGTATACAGTGGTCAATGAGTATGCTGCTATGAACTAAATCAACATTTGTTTAATGACGTCTTCAAGTATTCAGTGTTTCTCTCACCATTTGTTTTCTTCTTTAGGTGACTTGAAAACCTACTTACTATCAAGACGTCATTTGGTACCACAGATGGGCTCAAAGGAAGCAGAACTCATTTCTCCTAATGTGCTCACTGAGATGGCATTTGATATCGCTGCTGGTTTAGATTATCTTTCCAGTATGCATTTTGTTCACAGGTAGATAATTTACCATATCAGCAAAGTGCAAGAAAATAAACAGTTTTGTAACGCATACTTCAATTTCAGTTTCATTTTAGTGCCATTTTTGTCCAACGATGTTTATCAGTTGAGTGCCTGCATTTATTACAAAAGTTTTTGCCTGCAGTCCAATAGTGTGTCCATTCTACCAGTTGCCTGTTTATGCATAAAATATAAGTTGGCATATTTTGTTAGCATCCTAAGACAAGCATTAATTTACATAGTAAACAGAGGCAGGGTTTTGTAATTGACATTATCTATGAGCACTCTCTAAGATTAAGCAGTTTTCCCTAATATTATATTAATAACAATCAAATACAGTATTAAGTGTAGAAATATATAACTATTCATTATTAGTCAACAATGAAATATATTCTGCTGTACTATATATTATGAAACAATTTTTAGCACTGTTTTTATTGAACCGCATTATTTTAACCTTTTTCTTCAAAACTCAGGTTTTAAAAGTAATTTGAGAAGACAAATAGTCCTCAATCAGTATTCATCTTATATTATTACATAGTCCATGTTTGTTTGTTGAAGAGAGGGAATATGGCATGCGACAATAAGATACAGAAAACTTGAATGCAAACAAAAACATGGAACTGCTCAGTAATGTTCTGATGCCCATATATTGTGAATACTGCCAACAATACCACTTTAACCTTTTCACCACCAGACTTTCTTGCCCAAATTTTTTTTGCACTTTTTTCTTATATTCTTCAATATTTCTAGAAATGAACCCTAATTTTGGAGCCAATAGACAAAATTTGAGTTAATTTTCAGTTTGCTATTTTTGTTCTAATCTTCTGAAGAAAAGTGCAGACTATAAACAGAACTATATTGTGAATTTCTGATGAAAAGAGGAAACTTTGAACAGGTGGTGAAAAAGTTAATAATATTCATCACCAACATTTCTATATTTGATCAGAGCAATGCTTAGTACTTTCCCTAAATACTTGTATATCCTATATTCTAATTCCATACCTGTTACTTACAGGGATGTTGCATGTCGTAATTGTTTAGTACATGCTAGTCATGTAGTTAAGCTGTGTGACTTTGGGATGGCAAGACCACTCTATGACTCTGACTACTATAGATTTGGCAAGAAAGGTATAAATAATTAATTGTCTTATCTTTTTATCTGTCATATGAAAACATATCAATTATAGTTTTTTTTTCCTGTTACTATAAAATTTTGAATCGAACTTTACTTATTGAAAGTAAATTCTAAGAAGATATAATGACATCAGAAAGTCTGATTTGCAAGATTATTACATAACACACCACCGTCCATGACGTTTAAAATGCATGTTTATTCTGAAAAACTCAATTTTAGAACCTTTCAGTTCCGTATGTACCATGGAATATTCAATTCAATTTTGTTCGCGATCGTCAGGTCTGTTACCAGTTCGTTGGATGTCTCGAGAGAGTGTTATTGATGGGATTTTCTCCACTAAAAGTGATGTTTGGAGTTTTGGTGTTGTACTGTATGAGATAGTCACCTTTGGTAGTTTCCCTTACCAAGGACTCGCAAATTCTGAAGTAGTGGATGCTTTAAAGCGCAATGAGACATTGAATCCCCCAGAAGGATGTAATCCTGTATTGTAAGTGAACATTTTACTCTCTATAATACAAAAAATGCATTTGGGGCTTGTTGTTTTCTAGTGTATAAAGTATAGCAATGAAAATAATTACACTAAAATATTATATAGTTAATAATAATCCTGGTGAAACAACTGTTACAGTTCAATTATTAATAATTGTAGCATTATGGATGAAACATTTGTTTTTTTAAGCTGTTGTTTGATACTCAACACTGCAGATCTAATCAGATTATGATTTGTCTTGAAAAATTTTTCATTTGCAGATACATGAATGTATTCGTTTGATACAAAATCAAAACCACTAAAACAACCAGTGCACATGCATATTATGGAATTTCATTGTTTCATTGAATTAATATGTCTGCTACAAGAACAGTGTTTTCATTTTATTGACAAATCATAAGACCCATGTATCCATGAATATACAGTGTCAACAATACTAAAAATTACATTCTCTCATCCTTATTGCATTATTTATTTATTTAATTTTAAAGACATGAGAAAATGACAAAAGGATTTTTGCAATTGATCTTCAAAATATCATTTATGCTATTACTTTTTAGAAAAGATTTAATGAAGAGATGTTGGTCCATAAGCCCAGATGATAGACCTAGCCCATTAGAAATCATGGAAATTGTTGGTTACCATATGGATTTGATAACACCATGTTTAGAATCGCCAATGTTTTGCAAAGATACCACAAATTGTTCGATAGAAAATCAACCACCACCCTTGCCTCCAAGACCAAACAGATGGAAGAACAAATTCACAAAGTCACCTTTGCTGAGTAGGAAAACTGACGCTGTGAGACGATCACACTCTACATGTAACTCGGGCGATTTTGGACATCCCAAGAATGGAGCGATGAGGAAAAAAATCTCGGTGAAAAGATCAAAAACAATTTCAGAAAGGTTGCATGATATTAATGTTGAAAGATATAAAGAAAAGCAAGAAAGATCCAGATCAATACCTTACTCTCAAAAACCTAGTATTGAAGAAATGATTAATGAAGAGAATGTATTTGATGAACAGAAGACTGACATTCATGTTGACAGGAGTGCATTAACACTTAAAGATACAAACCAGAATTCAATCATTGAAATCAATGATGAAATTAGCCACAAGGAGATTGTTTCAGATTCAGAAAATTCCTCAGGATATGATAGTCGACATCAATCTACAGGAAGTCAAGACAGTCTCCTCTCTCACAAGGACTATAAGAAGCAAAAGAAGCCAGACATTGAAATGGAGACAATGCAAATGCACAAACTTAATGTACTTTTTGCCTTGTCACTCCCAGATGAAGCGTCTTCTATTGTTTGAAAATCCATCCGATCAGTTGTTATAAAACTTTATTGCCATTCAAACAAGATCCTGTATTTTAAAACAGAAAATGTATCTTTGAAAGGATGCCAAATAATTCCAATCACCAGTCAGAGCAATTCTGACAAAAAACAGCTTCATGAAGCTTGCCACATTGTCAAAATTTATTGGGCATCTTCAGAACTACCTCTATTCCAAACATTGACCATATTGGTCTTGTTCAATTCATCAATTCAGCTGAATTTTACATAAGATCTTGGATTTAGCATATTTGAAACACAATGTGTTGTGTGTCAAAGTTTGCATTGTGGAAGAGAAATCTACACTAATGTACATGTATCAGGAAATATACTAGTACAAGAATTTTATTATTATAATATTATAAAGAATTTATTTTTTACATTTATGTACACAATACATGTTCAATCATTTTTCTGTAGTGGTATTTACAGTAAAAAAAACTCTACACTGCTATGTAAGTGTCATAGACTATTAATTATCTGTTGTGGTAATATTTTCATTCAACCTGAAAAAATTCAAAATTCGGAAAAAGTAATGCAATTATGTTACAACTTTTAGTACCCAGTGCTAATTTGCACAAGCAGTCAGTATGACCTAGAGTACGAGTCAATACTCATACTTTGTGTTAATAATACTGATAAAAGTGGAGAACATATTTTCAGGAAATTTTATATAAAGGACCCTGTACACAATTGTTCAAATTGTCTTATGGTGGTAAGATTTGTTTTAAATAATTAATGCAGTGACTATAGAGTAACGTAAACCATGTGCAATAACCACAATTTACACGTAAGAAATACTTTTGAATGTTGCAGCAAATTTCGCTTTAAATGGGACAACCCTAAATAATGTACGTTTAATAAATATCAACAAAAATGATGTGTACTGGTGTTTTATGTGGCCGTGCATGTATTAAAAGGTGGTGTAGTCACACTATTTTATTAATACATTTATTATTTAGCTCTTGGTTATTGGTTGATACATGTTATTGTTTTTGCAATCTTGAGGAATAATCGCCAGCTGCTGAAAGTATTTATAAGCAGAACAGAACAGCATTTGCAGTACATCAATATGGAAAATAACAGTATAGTAGGTGCTTCTGTTTGACATACGATAGTAGTATTTTAACAATGTGCACCACCTTTCCAGATATTCATTATTGGGTATTCAACTCTTTTTATATTGTCAAATAGCCAATTACTACTATTATATTCTCCAATATTGACAAATGTGGTTTTCCCTAGAGGTTTTTCCAGTGGTGCAGCCCTTGGTTGCCTAGCAATACAGGGCATCATTGGTGACATTAATATATGCTAATTTAGTTCTCCTTATTAGACATGGTGAACTCCTGCTTTCTGTATCTTTTACTTTTGTGTAACATTCTTTGAATACCCCATTAGGTGAATGAACAAATCCTATACAATCAGTGGTACAGTTCTGTAACCAGTACTGACTCTGTCTCTGTATTCTAACATTTACTATTAGCATCACCACCAGTAATTCATTTGTAATTTATTCATTTAGAACAGTACATCCATAAATGGTTTTTCATGCACAGCATATAGATATAAAATATAACATAGAATTAAACAATCCACTGCAAAAATGACGAGAACACAATAAAGAAATGCATAAATAGGGTATAAAATAAAATTACTACGAAATAATATAAAATAACAATAAAAAAAATGACATAGCAGTCCGAATAAAATGATAAAATGCATAAATATGGTAAAATATGAATTTACAACAAAGTAGTAAGATAAAATTATACAATATTATTAGCAGCTGTAGCTGCGCGATATTTAAAAGAGCGAGTGTGAGAGTTTGAAATATGAAATCGATTTCTGGTGTTGTAGGAATGGATGGCAGAGTTTGAAATGAGAAGGTCAGATAAATATGTTGGGACTAAATATTGCTTGCATTTGTAAACGAGTTTATTAAAGTGTTTAGTTTGTCTGTCTTGAATGGTTGGCCAACCAAGAGCTGATCTTGCAATGGAGACAGGTTCATGTCTTTTCAAGCCACATTGGATGCATACAGCAAGGTTGGTGATACGTTGCAGACTACTTTTTAGTGTCATGCTGCAGTAAGAATACACAGTGTCACAGTAATCAAGTAGTGAGAATACTGTGGCAGAGATAATGTCCTTGCGAGCTTTCTCACGAATGCAGCGACGAGATCTTGTGAGGCATGATAGGCGGAATCCACATGTCCTACAAAGGTAGGCTATATGGTTACACCATTTTAATTCAGGATCCATTCTCAGCCCAAGACAAGTTGCAGATGTAGTTGAGTGAATTGTTTGATCTTTTATAATGAGAGTTTTTATGTGAGCAGGTACTTTCTGTAGTTGTTGACGAGTGCCAAACAGCATATACTGAAATTTTTATAAGTTGGGTTGAAGTGAATTAGCAGAAAACCACAGTAGAAGGCGGTTACTTTCTTGTTCAATTTCACTGCGAATGCAGTCAAGGTTGGTGTAGGTAGACTTTTTGAGGAGATTGAGATCATCAGCGTCATGTCTAGTCACTATTGATTATCATCGCAGTGTGTAGGCATTTCTGTAGGATTTTGATCCGGCCTTGTGTCTGCCAAGTTACCAGTACATGTATATAAGTAACCTGTTTGTTCTTGTCTTAATTGAATTATGCGATGAATTATACACTTCTCTTACATTTCTTGTTGGGAGGTTCAATTGGTCTATAGCTGTTTTGTATGATTTGCCCCATAGCTCAGATTCTATCCATATTTGTTAGAAAATATCCAACTATATCTAAATAGTTGTAGTAATTGGCTAGTGGTGATATAAACTAAAAGAACTACTTTAGCTGGTTTCATTGTTAATTAGTCACTGCCTATTACGTGAAATACCCACCCACCTGGTCTGGTTCACTGTAGAGAAAAAAAAAGAATTGATTGATTGATTAATAACTTTATTTACTCTTGCTCATTCCCTTGGGGGAAAGAAATTGGTCACTGAGAGCAACAAAACCATTTTTTTTTTTGCCTAATTGGCAGCCACTAATAAACAATAGAACTTGCTAAGGCAGTTCCTTTTATTATACTCGCGTGACTTGTGTGCCATTTAGTAAATTTAATTTTGGCACTATTGTATTCATATACACACTGTACTTATTTTGTCAATAAATCTTGATATTCATTCATGGCAGCATGACTACACTCTGATAACATGTGTACATGGTGTACTATTGAGACAGTGTGAAAAAGACAAAACCAAGCTGCAATATAGAGGAACTTTGTTATAGTTTAAAATAGTGTTTTTTTTGTTGTATGGACTAAAATCTTAGCCATTTGTTTAAGATTCCATTAAAGCGCGCTAAAACACACGCTAAAAACGCAAAGACTCATAGGTAGACACTTGTTTGTAAGCAATGACGGGCTATGGCCGTCTGACACATAATAACCCTTAAAAAAGATGATGATCTTTCATCTAGATCTGCATTTACCTCTCAATCTGTGCTTGTTTCAATGAACAGTGGTGTGTAATGGTCTAAAACATTTTCTACGAAATTGGCTTCTTCATGCGAAATTTCAAACTCATGTGATACCTTTTTTTATGATTTTAAAGCGGGGGATTTGTCACCTGCGCATGCATCAGATGGCCATAGCGAGTCATTATTTACAAACAAGCGTCTACCCACGTAGCTGCAGTTCTGTAGCTCGCTTGGTTTCGCTGTCGGTTATTTTGTTCGTCGTGGTGTTAACGCGAAACCAGGGAGCTACAGTTCCATCCTATGCGAGTTACCATATTTTACCGACCTGAAATCAGGTCGGGCCGTAACAGCCGTTTTTTTCATTATTTTCGCCTCAAGTTTCTACTGTCGATGGGTCCCGAAACTATTTCATCAATTATTTTGAGGGCGATTGTTCGAAATTG